GGGGGCATTCCAGGGGTGGGAGGGGATGCCTCCAAGCCCTGCCCGCAAGCCACGCCCACCCCTGTCCCTCTCTGCTAACAGATTTAAAGGGCTTCAGCTGATCAGGGGAGCATGTGGCCCCCTGATTAGCTGAAGCCCTTTATATCAGGGGTGTCGAACTCATTTGTGGATGAGCACACTTCTGGTAGCATGGGGGTGTGGCCTAATGTGCCAATGAGCTGTGCTGTCAGAGGTGTGGCCTAATAGGCTAATGAGTTTCTGCTGTTGGGTGTGGCCTATTATGCGAATGAGTTCCTGCTGGGCTTTTTCTACAAAAAGAGCCCAGGTCTTCAGCAGAGTGGAATGCCGTAGGGTCCACCCTTCGAAGCTGCCCCTTATCTACCGGGAAACTGATCTCTGTCATCCGGTGATACGTTGTCATTCCAAGAGATTTCCAGGCCCCACTTGGAGGTTAGCAACCTTATTTGGCCCCGATCCTGCTCACCCTACGCTGTTTTGCAGTCATGTCCTCTGGGGAGCTTGGAGTTGCCAGACTCCAAGCAAGGCTCCCTCTAAGCTGTGGAGTCTTTCTTGAGCAAAAGTTCTACTTTGTGAGCTCCTGGCATTAAAGGTGTGAGCGAGCCATTTGGCTCCTGCACAAATCAGTTTGCTATGGAGCCCTCCTTCCGGAGCTAAGATGAAAACGTGTGAGCCGGAGGCTAAAAAACCACACTAACTCAGCTTAGAGCAGGGGTGTCGAACTCATCTGTTATGAGGGCTGGATCTGACATAAATGAGACCTTGTTGGGCTGGGCCATGTGTGTCATAAAATGCAATGCCAGTTAGCAGAGGTATAAACTTTATAAAAGACACAAACACAAAGGTGGCTTTTTTACTTAACATAAAACCATGCTTAAAACATTAGCACTCTTGCAATATTTTGCTTATTTAGCAGTGTCTGATAACGGACACCTCTTGCTCTGAATTATTGCATCAAAATGTCTGTGCTGTTGCAGTCTTGAGTGTGCTGTTCAGGTGTGTATCTGCAAGCTGCAAACCTATGATGACGCAGCAGCAGCAGCAGCAGCAGCAGCAGCAGCAGCAGCAGCAGCAGCAGCAGCAGCAGCAGCAGCAGCAGCAGCAAAGCTGCAAACCTATGATGACGCAGCAGCAGCAGCAGCAGCAGCAGCAGCAGCAGCAGCAGCAGCAGCAGAACTGGAAGAAGAAGAAGCAGAAGGTAGCCAGTTCCACTGCGGACCTGATAGGAGCCCTCCCGGGGGCCTGATCCAGCCCCCGGGCTGCATGTTTGACACCCCTTGCTTTAAATCTTTTAGGAGGGAGGGACAGGGGTGGCTGCGGGTGGCCACGGCTTGGGGGCAGGGCTTGGGGGCAGGCTTCCCCAGGGACCAGCTGGCCGGGGGTGGATTTGAGCCCCCCCCGGAGTGGGGGAACGCCCACCCAGACTTGGGGGCTGGCAACCCTCTCACTGTCGCCTGGAGATCAGCTATAATCGTGAGAGATCTCCAGCCACCACCAGGAGGTTGGCAACTCTTGTTTCACCTATAGGGGCCTCATTTTTATTTATTTACTTTATTTATGCCTCACCTTTCTCCCTGATGAGCAGCTTCCCGATTTCTCTTCTCCTCCATTTTATCCTCACCACAACCCCGCAAGGTGGGTCAGGCTGAGAGGGCGTGACTGGCCCAAGGTCACCCAGCAGGCTTCTGTGGCAGAGTGGGGATTCGAACCCGGGCCTCCCAAATCCTAGTCTGACAGGCTAACCCCTGCACCACACTGGCTCTCCAGCTCAGCTTAATGAAGCCCTTTTTAGCCTGGGAGGGAAAAGTTAACTCTAGCACCACGACCCTAATCTGTCTCCGCCCTCTTACTGCAGCAGGTATTAGTGACTCTGGGAGGGTTGCCAGCTCCAGGTCAGGAAATACCTGGAGAATTTGGGAGTGGCACCTGGGGAGGGCAGAAGAAGAAGAAGAAGAGATTAGATTTATACCCCACCCTTCACTCAGAGTCTCAGAGCGGCTTACAAACGCCTTTCCCTTGCCCAAGATCATCCAGCAGCTGCACGTGGAGCGGAGTGGGGAATCAAACCCGGTTCTCCCAGATTAGAGTCTGCACTTAACCACTGCACCAGACTGGCTCTCGAGGGGGGGGGGGCTTCAATGGGGTACGATGCCATAGAGTCCACCTTCCAAAGCAACCATTTCCTCCAGGGGAACTGGTCTCTGATGCCTGGAGATCAATTGTAATAGCAGGAGATCTCCAGCTACCACCTGGAGGTTGGCAACACTACCCTTTGGGGACCTGGGCAAAACTGGAGGGTGAGGCCCTAGCATGACTGGGCGGGAGGGCATGGCACAGCCCCCCAGAGCCCATCGCTCAGCAAATGAGTGCCAGTCAGGCCATGAGCCTGGTGGTGGGTAAGGTGAAGACCCTGAATCAGCTGCAGGACAGAGGGAGACCCCCCCTACCCAGCTGATTGCCCCCCATGTGCCGCCTGACGTAGAAACATAGAGCTGGAAGGGACCTTAGGGTCATCTAGTCCAACCCCCAACTGCTTCCCTCCCCCTGCTCCCCAGTGACCCAGAGGAAGGCAAAAAACCTCCAGGAATCCCTCGGCCAACCTGGTCTCAAGGAAAATCCCTTCCTGACCCCAAAGTGGCATTCGACACCACCCTCGGCAGGTAAGAAAGGGCCAAGAGAGCTGAGTGCTGGCTCATCCCTTCCGGCCCTCCCTCTCGTGATCTGCCTAAGCCAGTTTGGTGTTGTGGTTAAGTGCGTGGACTCTAATCTGGGAGAACCGGGTTTGGTTCCCCACTCCTCAACTCGCAGCTGCTGGATGACCCTGGGCAAACCACAGTTCTGATAAAAGCTGGTCTTGGGAAAAGAGCAGTTCTTTCTCAGAGCTCTCTCAGCCCCACCCACCTCACAGGGTGTCTGTTGTGGGGAGGGGAAGGGAAAGGAGCCCTAAATTCAATCTGGGTAATTATTCTAGAACCACCCGGGACTTTTAAGAGATAACTGTTAACAAGAAATAGAGCATTTAAGCTTCTTCCTCTGGCCATGACAGGAAATCAGTGGGTGGAGCTCATTCACTCTTCCACTTCCAACACGAGGACCAGTGTGATGCGGCGACAAAAAAGGCAAAGGCAATCTTGGGGTGTATCAACAGAGGCATAACATCCAAATTGCAAGATGTCATGGGTGCATTGGTGAGGCTGCACCTGGAGTCTTGTGTGCCGTTCTGGAGGCCTCACTTCAGAAAGGGTGTGGACAGAATGGAGCGGGTGCAGAGGAGAGCAACGAGGACGATCGGGGGCCTGGAGACTTGTATGAGGCAAGGCTGAGGGAGGCTAGGCTTTGGAGGCCCGATTTCCGCCGCCACGGAATCGGGCCCTGGGGGGAACCCCACCCTGGCGTGCACGTCACCAGGAAGTGACGTTATGACGCCGGGCACGCTGGGGGTGGGGCCACAACCATCCGAGGGGAAACTCTATGGTTTCCCCTCGAATGGTCGTGGCCCCGCCCCCAGCGGTGACGTGACTTCCTGGTGACGTGCGTGCGGTGTGTGCGCGCTCTCCGGGATCCACTCGGGATAGGGTTGCCAAATTGAAAAAGCTTACCGGCGGGGGAGCATCCTGTAGCTCCGGGAGCCGGCCGGGGATGTGTGCGCGTGCGTGCGAAGCGCGCGCTTCCAGAGCATCACTGGAAGTGACATCACACGCTGGGGCGGGGCCACGCCATTTGAGGGGAAAACAAAGAGTTTTCCCCTCAAATGGTGTCGCCCCGCCCCCAGCGTGTGACATCACTTCCGGGTGACGCACACACGGGGGTGGGGTTTCCCCCGGGCCCCGATTCCGCGGGAGCGGGAATCGGGGCTCGAAACTGGGGGGAATTCCGCCCCCCGGGGAGATTTGGGAACCCAAACCCGGGAGTCCCCCGCTGCGGAGGTAAGCTATACTTGGCAACCCTAATTGAACTGCAGGATTGACTTTGATTTTAGAAGAGTGCAGTCCTTAGTACGTACCCGGAAACATTGGGGTTTGGTGGGGGCTGAACACATTCCAAATGGCAACCCTGCCCCTGAATTTGCCAGGTCCAGAAATGGCTTTGAATCACCCAGTTCTGCGATTGTATCACATTGCAGGGCTTACTCTATGGCCAGATGCAATCTCCATCCTTCAGCGGTCCTAGAAGGCCGATAGAAAAAGGTGCCACTGATTGAGCCTCTATGCCCTTGTGGCTCCGGGAAGTTAGAAACAATCGAACATATGTTATTGTATTGTGGCTATTACAAAGATAGCCGAGCAAAGATCATATTTTAAGGAGGTTCTACGGGTATTCAGATAAAGAAATACGGCAGAAACGTCTTATTTGACCCTGACCCTCAGCTCATATTGAACTGTGCTAAATTTTTAGCTGTAGTCCAAAGAATTCGCAGAGATCAAGTATAGCAGAGTCCAAGAGGTTATGGATAATTGAGAGGACAAATCATGTATATAAATCTTGTTTTATTTCGTATCACGGGAGTTTTAGAAATTCAAATGAGACTTTTAAAAACTGCTGCTATATACTTTAAGCTATATGTTTTAGAAACGTTTAACATCTTTTAAAAATTGTTACAATTGTATTACTGACGCAGTTAAAATATGGCTGCAGCCGCAATGCTCCCTCTAAGCTGTGGAGCCTTGTGAGCAAAAATTCTTCTTTGTGAGCTACTGGCATTCAAGTTGTGAGTGAGCCATTTGGCTACTGCATCAATTAGTTTGCTCTGGAGCCCTCCTTCCCTGAGCTGAGACAAAAATGTGTGAGCCGGAGGCTATAAACCTGTGAGCTAGCTCACACTAACTCAGCTTAGAGGGAACACTGGCTGCAACCCATTTGTGCTGGTTAGGTACCAAATAAACTTGACTTGATACACCCAATTCTGATGCAAGATGGCGTAAAGATTCTCAGAGTTCACAAGCGGCATATACAATGTAACACCACATTGAGGGATCGCTTACCTCTCTCACACTGCGGGCCTGTGAAACCGTAGATGCATGCGCACCGATTTGGTCCAATGCACCGGCCTCCATTCTGGCAACTGGTCTCGCAGACAGCTGTTTGACAAAAAGAGAGCGGGAGGTGAGGGAGGCTGTTTTGGATGGGAATCAAGCGAGGCTCGCCAGGAAATGCTGCTTTCCAGCAGGGAATCGGGGAGGGAAGCCGGATTCTGAGATTCTCATTATAGCAGTCTGAGACGGCTACAAGTTCAAAAGAGACAGGATGTCGTTCCCGAAAAAGCCACCCAAAAGGGACTGGATTTGAGAGAGGGATGAATAGATTTCCTTCAGTGTGCTTTCTGCCCACCTTCCACTCCTCGTTCATTCCAGATTCAGTCAGAGAATCACAAATTAATTCCAGGATTGGATCATGCACAGTTTCCTCCTACTTGGCTCTTTTCCATCATCTTTTCACCTCCACCAATGTGCCATAGGCACTGGTTTTTAAAAAGTAGCTTCAGGGCTCCTCCGGGATTAAGGGCCCTGAATAGGGTTGCCAAATCTGGTTTGGAAAATACCTGGAGACTTTGGGGGTGGAGCCAGGAGAGGGTGGGGTTTGGGGTGGGGAGGGGCCTCAGCCTGGTACAATGCCATAGAGTCTCCCCTTCAAAGCAGCCATTTTCTCCAGGGGAGCTGATCTCTATCAGCTGGAGATCAGTGGTAAAAGCGGGAGATCCCCAGGCCCCACCTGGAGGCTGGCAACCCTAGCCCTGAAGCCTGAGTGTCATTAGTTTCATAGTGGATCTGCCCCAGGCCAGCACTCCAGAAAAAGACTCTCGATGCAACTGCATCATGCACAGCCACATATCAAGATGGCTTCATTTACCATGTTTAGGCGTGAGGTGGGAAGACAAAAAAACGAATAAAAGAAACGTGGAGATGCAGCCAGCAGCACGCGATTGGGGGCGGGGGGGGGAGAGAACCAGACAAACAGAAGATTCTGCAAGCACTGGCTCTATTTTAGAAACAAGACTACTTAATTTAGAACTCTAAATCTGAGAAGAAATCCAGATGATGACGATTCTGGAAGTGCCCCAGATCAAACATCAATTTGCCTGTCGGGGCCGGGCTGGTATCCAATTTGGAGACTCAGAAATCCAGCTTGGAGGGTGGGAAAGCAGCCCGTGGCATTTCAGGGTTGGTCTTGCCTCCCAGGAGTATCGGACTAGGATAAGCATGCCAGCTCTGAGTGGGGAAATACCTGGAGATCTGTGGGGTGGAGCCTGAGGAAGGCGGGGTTTGGGGAGGGGAGGGGCCTCAGCAGGGTACAAAGCCATAGAGCCCACCCTCCAAAGCAGCCATTTTCTCCATGATCTCTGTCATCTAGAGATCAGTTGTAAAGCGGGAAATCTTCAGGCTCCACCTGGAAGATGGCAACCCTAGACTAGGATCCAGGATACCCATGTTGAAGTGCCCGCTCTGCCATGGAAGCTCACTGGGCAGCCTTAGACGAAGTCACCCTCTCTCAGCCTAACCTGCCTGAGAGCCAGTTTGGCGTAGTAGGTTAGGAGCACGGACTCTAATCTGGGAGAACCAAGTCTGATTCCCCATGCCTCCACATGCAGCTGCTGGTGTGACCTTGGGTCAGTCACAAGTTCTCTCAGAGCTGTTCTCCCAAGGGCAGTTCTCGAGAGAGCTCTCTCAGCCTCACCTACCTCACAGGGTATCTGTTGTGGGGAGGAGAAGGGAAGGGATTATAAGCCGCTCTGAGACTCCTTTGGATAGTGAAGGGCGGGGTATAAATCCAATCTTTTCTTCTTCTTCTCACTGGATCATTGTTATTAGGATAAAACAGCAGAGGGAGCAATAATGTTGCAAGATGCTTTGGGTCCCCAGTGGGATGAAAAGCATGGTAAAGGTAAAGGTTCCCTTGCTCGAAAGCCAGTTGAGTCCGACTCTAGGATTGCGGTGCTCATCTCCGTTTCCAAGCCGAAGAGCCAGCGCTGTCCAAAGACGTTTCCGTGGTCATGTGGCCGGCATGACTAAACAGCGAGGCGCACGGAACGCTGTTACCTTCCCACCGAAGTGGTCCCTATTTATCTACTTGCAATTTCTTGCTTTCCAACTGCTAGGTTGGCAGGAGCTGGAACTAGAGACGGGAGCTCACTCCGTCACGCGGCACCCAGGTCTCGAACTGCTGAACTACCGACCTTCCACAGCCTGCAGTTCAGCGTCTTAACCACTTGAGCCACCGCAGCTCCTAAATAAAGGAAATGAAAAATGAAGGAGGACACCTTGACTCATCAGAAAGAAGCTCGCTTGACCGACAGAGGTGGTGCATCAGGGGGCTTCCATCCAGCCCAGTAAACCAGATTCATACTCAAGATCCCCAGAACTTCATCACCAGTGAGTCAGAGCAGTGCCTGCCCTGAACTGGAGAGGTCAGCATTTACCAGATATCTAACAGGCAAAGGCCGTCGCTCAGCGATGACATCACCTGCGCGGCATGCCGGAAGTCCTTGGTTCAACCTCTAACATCTCCAAGTAGAAGGACCAAGCTATTGGTGGTGTGAAACAGCTCTGCCTGAGATCCAAACTATACGGCATGTTTAGCTTGAACTCAAGTCAGGGGAACCCAGACCAGAATTGTTTTCCCCACACAGGAGGAGGACGACGAGGAGGAGATTGGATTCATACCCCCCCCTTCACTCCCCAAGGGAGTCTCAGAGCGGCTTACGATCTCCTTTCCCTCCCCCTCCCCACAGCAGACACCCTGTGAGGTAGGTGGGGCTGAGAGAGCTCTTGACAGAAACTGCTCTTTTTCAAGAACAGCTCTTATCAGAACTACGGCTTTCCCAAGGTCATCCATCCAGAAGAAGAAAAGATTGGATTTATATCCCGCCCTTCACTACCCAAAGGGGTCTCAGAGCGGCTTACAAACTCCTTTCCCTCCCCCTCCCCACAACAGACACCCTGAGAGGTAGGTGGGGCTGAGAGAGCTCTGACAGGAACTGCTCTTTTTCAAGGATGGCTCTTATCAGAACTACGGCTTGCCCAAGGTCATCCAGCCAGGTGCAAGTGGAGGAATCAAACCCCAGTTCTCCCAGATTAGAGTCCCCGCACTTAACCACGACACCAAACTGGCTCTCATAGCAGCTGCAAGTAGGGCTGCCAGCCCCCCGGTCCAGTCAGGGGTCCCCCGACTTCTGCAGGCTCCTCCCCGCCACCAGCCAGCTGGCGTGCCCCGAACACGGTGCAGTGATGCCACCCAGAAGTGACGTCATTGCGCCGCCCATGTCACATGGCGTCGCTCTAGTTTTGAGACAGAACTCTATGGTGACATCAAGCTCAAACCATAGAGTTTCACCCAGAAACTAGAGTGTCACCATGCAACATCAGCAGTGCGATGACATCACTTCCAGGCGATGTCATCGTACCCTGCACATGAAGCACAGGCGGCAGAAGCTCCAGCAAAGGCCTGTCGACCCCTCCGCCAGCAGAAAGGTAGGACCTAGCTGCAAGCAACATTCTTAGTCAAGCGCTGCAGGGCCTGATTCAGATTGTGACTGTGGCAACGTGGGGCCCTAACATCTATTCTGTGCCATCTTCTGGAGCTGAAATGGCCCCGGGAGGTTGCTGATTGTCTCAGTGCAAAGGGGTGCAAGAAGAGTTTTGTCAGCTGAGACAACAATTAAAGGTGGGTTTTCCAAATGAAATATCTTTGAAGTTCATTCTGAATTCACTGTTGTTTTTAGTTAAACGGTGCCTTTTTAAAATTAAATGTAAAATTACGCTCTGATTTTTTGATATAATAAACCAATTTGTGGGGGGTTTTTTTGTATTTTATAGGCAGAATAAAGATAATAATCCAAGGTACTCCACCGACGCAAGGCTGTCTATGGCAAACAAATCCCATCAAGCCAAAATCTAGTAGTAAGTATAGAAATCTCAGATCCACAATTAAAACTGGCAGAATTTCAGATCTCAAATCAGAGTTTGGCATTTCAGCCAAACCAGAAGAAGAGATGGTTTTTATACCCTGCTTTCCTCTACTTTAAGGAGTCTCAAAGCATCTTACAATCGCCTTTTCCCTTCCTCTCCCCACAACAGGCACCTTGTGGTACGTGGGCCTCAGAGAGTTCTCTGAGAACTGTGACTGGCCCAAGGCCACCCAGCTGGCTGCATGTGGAAGAGGAGTGGGAAATCAGACCCGGTTCTTCAGATTAGAGTCTGCCACTCTTGACCAGGACACCATGTTGGATCCTCAGAGGTGGAACTGAATTTCCATCAGGCCCGTAGCTAACATGGGGCCCACGGGGCCCGGCCCCCTTGTGTTTCTTCTGGGCCCCCTCCAGGGCTGCCCCCAAAGTGCTCCAACTTACCACCTGCACTGTACTTCCATTTAATTAGCTGGCGGGCCCCCCAAGGCCCCCTCCCAAAGAATTCCCTAGCTACGGGGTTGATTTCCATGCAAGTTTTTCAGGAGTAAAGCAGAGGCCAATACTTACGCTGGCCACAGTAGGTCCCCGTGTATCCCTTCTGGCACATGCACGAGTCCTCACTGCAACTGCCGCCATTCATGCATCTCACGCTGCAAGACTGGACTGGAGAAGGAAGTTAGGGAGAAGAGAAGAATTCGTAAAATTCTAGCTGAGAGATCTGACCTGAATAGCCCAGGCAAGCCTGATGTCATCAGTTCTTGGAAGCTAAGCAGCTGACCCTGGCAAGTGCTTGGAAGGGAGAGCTCCAAGGAGTACCAGGGCCGGGACACAGAGGCAGGTAACATCAAAGCCACCTCTCTGAAATGTCCTAGCCCCAACAGGGGTCGCCAGAAGTCACCATGACTCCCAGGCTCACAAGCGCACACACACACACACACACACACAAACAAAACAACAAAGGGAATTGTGCATGGGATATGGAATGTGAAGGGAGAGAAAGCTATTTTAATCCCTCACCCATCTGACTAGAATGGGGGGGGGGTTTTCAATCCATTAATTTGATGGGCATTCAAGACTGACATTTCTTCCCACCCACCTGCCACAGGGTGGTGGTGGTGGGGATAGCTGGTAGATTAAGACAAATTCCTTCGCAGTAGCCAAGTCCTGCAGCAGCCAACAATAACAAAGAATCGTGAGTCCTAAAGACTAAAGAATAAAGTCAGTGATAAACTCTTTGGTCTTTAAGACTTGTATTATTTTAGATTAAGATGGCTTCAGGAAAGGCAACTGGGTCCAACCAGATGAGCTGTTGAAAGGTCTATCCATGAACTGTATTACTGAGGTGTCACGGGCACTGATAAAATAGGTAAAGGTAAAGGTTTGCCTTGCTCGAAAGCCAGTCGAATCCGACTCTAGGGATGTGGTGCTCATCTCCGTTACCAAGCCGAAGAGCCAGTGCTGTCCGAAGACGTTTCCATGGTCATGTGGCCGGAATGACTAAACACCAAGGCGCACGGAACGCAAATACTCTCCCCAAAAAGCAGTCTTATCCCATGTATGATTGTGTCAAGATTCTTTTTGTGTAGTGCGTTCACTAATATACACATGTGTTCCTGCCGGAGTTGCCAGCCCTTTGCTCAAAGATCCTGCTTCCCCCCCCCCCGGCCACTCAGAGAAATGGCCCTCAGGCCAATGGGGTGTGATGTCACTTACACGAAAACCTGAAAGTGACGTCACATCTCTGTAGGAATTCCCAGAAGCTCCTTGGTAAAACCATGGAGTTTCTGGCAATTCCTAGAGAGGTGTGATATCACTTCCCAGGTATCCATAGAAGCAGGGGTCATTTCCTACAGGAGCGCACAGGAGTGGAGCTCCAGCAGTAAGGAGCCCAGGGGGTGGGCACATGCAGCAAGCCCCGGCCCCTGCTGCCAGCAGCCCTCAGTCAGGCCACAAGGAGCAAGAAGCAACCAGGTAAGTTGCAGAGCCCCCCCCCTTCAGGTACAAGCTCTCCCTCCTCTGCGAGGGAAGATCTGCACATCGTTCCCCCCCCCAAGCTAGCAATCCAAAAGAGTCCTGTGGAGCCTGAGCGGTGGGTGTTGCCTTCTGACACACTTCCGGTGATGTCAGGGGGTGTGGCATATGCAAATAAGTTATGCTAATGAGCCCCTGCACCTCTTTTTCTACGAAATGATCCCTGCATAGAAGTGATGTCACACAGTTCTTGACGGTTGTCTCCCCATGACCCTGCCTAGCAACCCCTGTTCCTGTGCACTGCTGAGACACCACACAGAGAGAACATTGACACCATTCTACATCGAAACACATCAAGACTGCTTTATCACTGTATATGTGCAGAGCAGGACTGGGCCTCCATCCGTCAGATCAGCTTTTTCATATTGTCTACGATACATGCTCTCTGCGAATGCCTAGAACTCCAGGTGGTCGCGTATGCCATTTTAAAATGGCTTTTAATGGTAAGCCGCCTGGAACAGGACTCTAAAGAGGCAGCATGGAAATGTTCAGTATACTCGAAAGCTGTGGCAAACTCTGCTGGTACATGGCCGGCCACTTTGGAAATCAGACCTGATCATTCCGAAACCAGAGGAAAATTTGGGAGGAGGAGAATTTCAGAAATGCCCCATCTCACAGGGCAACGGGCCGAGGACCTTGTCGTCTTCTCGACGTTCGAACGTATCACATTTAGAGACTACGATTGTGCATGGAGATATTCGTAGACACTTGGAAACTTTTTGTAGAGCCTTATCGGTAGACTGGCCACCACTGTTGTAATATTTGGCTCGGGGCTTTGATTTATAATAAATTTGTAATTAATTTTTTTTTAAAGTTAAAACAATGACAGCATTTGCACTAATGTGACATCCAAGACGCCAGGCCCTGAAAGTCAGAGAGGTCTCCAAAGAAAGCCGGAGCTGAAATCTCAGGAAACAGGCATTCCCCCATCCCCCACATCTTTCGGGCTACACCCTGTTGCCGAGGCAGGGCCCCCCCCTGCCCTATGAAATTTAACATCCCCCTCCCACCCCACTGGTGTGTTGGGCCCAAAGGAATGCTGGAAATGTGGTTTCTTCCCCAACCCCCCTCCTCATGGTAGAATTCTTTGCATTGTTGGGAAGATTGCTAACATCTGGTGCTTCCATTAGAGTGAAACAGAGCAGCCTTTTTTAAAAAAACAAACCTTTATTGGGGAGAGGGTACCATAAAAGGCGACACATTGAAAGAAAGGTGTCAGCAGAGTCGGTTCACAGGGCTGAGGGCCTGCGGGGGAGGGGGGGATTTCTTGACCTGCTGAATTAAGGCCGAAGCCATTGTGAGCTTTCAAACTGAGGCTCCGTTTAAAAATTATCTAATTTTTAAAAACCAATTTAGAGTCCAGTCGGGCACCTTGAAGACCAACAAAGATTTATTAAAGGTATGAGCTTTCGTGTGCAAGGCACACTTTGTCAAATACATACGAATTATCATTATTTATTTATTTATTTAATTCAAAATTTTTATTGAAGTTGAACATTTTATACAATCATAGTTATAAGTGAACACAACTTCTTTTTTGATAAATTATTATTTTTTTTAAGCGTCTTACATCCCGGGAAATTTCAATCTATAGGTGTGAATTTGTTCAACCCAGGAATGGCAAT